TGTGTGTGTGTGTGTGTGTGTGTGTGTGTGTGTGTGTGTGTGTGTCTGTATATCAACACTCATTATACATGGAATGCACAATGAAATTTTCCAAAGGCCATGCTGTTAAGGAAGCATTCAGTCAAAGAAAATGTCACACAACAGTTCAGAAATACCAGCTGTAATAAGCAATTACCATCGGCGTCGAGATCACAGATAAACACGTAGCGCTCAGTGGAGCTCTGAGGCAAAAAACTGAAGTGTTATTGTGACGAGACACAATGCAGCAGTGTGTGTAAGGTATCAGCATTTATGTCCTAAAAGAGCATTAAAGCTGCACATTGACAAACTTAAATCAAATGCATCATTCATCTAAGAAGCATCGCAGGTAAAAGCAGACAATACAGTTCAAGTATAAGTATCAAGAAAGAAAGAGAAAAGAAAGAGCAAGCATGGCTCGTGAGGTCCTAGGGGAGAAAGTCCCACCTCAATATGCAGTGAAACTGCGCAAGAAACAACGTTTTCATCTTAAACATGTTACTCACCAGCTTTGTAACTGATGGAATTAGATGCTGATACTGATTTCTTGTAACACAGGAAGACACTGGAACCCCACTGAAAGATTTATCACAAAATCAGTGTTGCCGTTTCAGAGCTGATGAAATAACGGGATAAAATAAAAAAGGGGTGGAGGGGAGTTAGGGTTACCATGCCACAGTTGAGGTTTTTGTCCACTTTGCAGAAGGTATGTGGTGGTATCTCGCCCTTGCTGGTGACAATAATGCAAATATCTGTCACTGCCAGGGAATTCTGAGGCTGGACTGGCGGCGCTCGGCGGAATGTGATGAAGATGCGCTGTGAGGTGGCGGAGCTGTTGTTGACATTGGCGCAGCGGCCATACGGTGTGGCTTGGATGACCTCGCAGCCATGGATCAGACGTTCCTTACCCTCATACAGAACCCTGTAACACAAGCCAGTGTGAGGTAAGGTGTTAGAGAACTGTAGCCTAGCTGATGCAGTCTTCCTCCTAAACAGCAGGTGGAGAACAACACTGCTCTCTACGGGTGTGGGGAGCAAAGAGAGGCGTCATACAGGAAGCCGTTCAAAAACAAATGGGAGTGCAGTTTCAATTTGTCGGTAACGTGCAGTGATCTTTGGATTTGATGGGTCTTATAGATCCCATAAACATGGGCCTGCTTCCTCTCTGCAGCTAATGCATGTTTCAAACACACCGCTGCTGCAGTGAGTAGCGGATGAAATTATGAACAAACAGAAGAGGGCAATATAGAGATAACCAGAGTGGCTTTTAGTGTATTCAGCACTCAAATCGCACAACAGTCAACAACGGCTGTCTTTCATGAGCAACAAGCAGTGGTAAATAAAAACTAAGGGAAGGCAAAGATGCAAAGGTTAGGAATTTTACACACCAAAGAAACAGAAGACATTCAGCACCACCACAGCAGAATGTGGGGGTCACGCTTTGTCACACTTTCCTTAACTGGAAAAGTTTCCTTCAGGGCTTCTGAGTAATAAGCTCAACTGCCTGATGCACTGACTTCCAAAGATTTCTCCAGGGCAGTATTACCAGGTTAGTTGTATTATTTGGGGTGAAATTACTTCCATCATAGCAATAAAAGAGTAGTACACAACTTCTAAATGTGCACAACATACGTCCTACTCTCAACCTCACAGGTCTAATCACTATTCAGGGAGGAACCTGAACATACACACAGTCAAATGCATGTGAATGCATGTCTCGACACGCAGACTCTTTTTGCTTCACAACTGCTGTGTTTAGGTGCTGGTGGAGAGCTGGTCCATCTGGATTCTTTTCTGATTCAATTGTTATGTCGCTCTTTTTATGAAGTAGCGTTACTCTGTAACTATGGGCTGAACTCTGTCACTACGCCTGACTTCCAGGGGATTTTCACTGGCCACATGATGAATTCAAAGTATTACTCACCCTTCATTTGGACTTTGCTCTCCATCAAACGACAAACTCCTGTCTTTGCAAGTTTTAAATGCCTCACTGTGCTCACCAGTCATTTCACTCACTGTGACCGTCTGGTGGTTTTTTGCAATTCAGGTGGACTTAAGTGGGTTGAGAAATCTATTTTGCTGCACGGAGACATTAACTGTACGGATGCTGGCAGTGATCCAAAGGCACTAAAACAACAGCTCAGCAGAACTAAGAAGAAGAACTGCAGGGCTGATAACTCTTCATGGCTTTATCTTCTCTGATCCAAGCTTTTCATATCAATAATAAAGATTAAAGAAGTCAATTTTTAAGGCTGGGAGAAAGGATACACCACCTTCAGTAACACTGCTGTCAAAGTTTTAAGTATCACTACAAATGCATTAGTTAAGATGAAAAGAAACCCTTATGTTTACTTGAGGTCTAAATCAATAGAACATTTCAAACCTGACCACTGCCTATCCTTAATTTTCCTTTGAGGATTTAGAGAAGTCAGTGTTCAGTGGGAGCCGTGATTGAGGTGACTCATTCAAATCCCAGACAGCCATGGATTTTCATAACCAGCTCAATACAAAATCAACACTTTAAATATAGCTACCTAAATACTATGTGCTCTGGTTATAACAGCGAAGCAGTAAGAGCCCCACCGTGCTTGATTTGTTACAAAGCCTCTATGGAATCATGCTTCATTTCCATCTGGACAATCTCATGTAAGTAGCTAATGTTCTAAAACAGTCCTTATAAACATATAGGCTAAAACACCCTATTTTGAGTCTTATGCTCTCATGATGGGGAAGTTTATGGACATAATAACACTTTATTCATTTTTAAAAGTGTGACAAAACAGCCTAAAGAGGCCCAGAGAGCACAGTTGCCTCATTTAGGAGTCCTAATTTGCACAGTGTGTTGTGACGCTCCAAAGCCTCAGGCAGAGAGTGCTTCACTGACAGCAGAGCTAGCAGAAGGAAGAATACATTTTTTACCGTTTGCATGATAACTAATTATCTTTTCAGTAGATATCGCACCAGCTTATTAATCATAAACTGAAGAGAGAGAAACTATAGTCAAAAATGTTTACTGGTGTTCTATTTCTTATGTAAAGCAATTAAATTGACTGCTCTGCTAATTTCTGCTTCATTTTTGTGAAAGTCTTGTTATTTGGCTTATTAATAACTAACAAGGTGATTTTTTTTTCAAAAGAAAAAAAAGATAAAGTCTAAAACTTAGCATGTGTTTTTTATAGCTTTATGTCTATTTGCATGCAACAAGATTGCACAATCTCTAAAAGGGAAGCATGACTTGACAAACAATCTTGCCCACTGCATTCACTGCTGGAGTGTTTCAGAAAGCTTTTGCGTTGTTCTGTGGTTTAAAAAAACACATTTGACCGATGGGACTCCCACCAATAATGCCCGAAACGAATCAAAATTATCACAGTGAAGAAAAAAGGTCAGAGATGTTGTTGCTTTTTAACGTTACAGAGCAAGTTTTTTTCCCACCAACAAAACTGGAGTTTCCAGTTATGAGAAACCACGCTCGGTCCGATCAAACAGGCTTTAGGTGTGGGCAGAGCTTAAATACGGCTCAGGCTGCAGCTCGTCAGTTTAGGACACCTTAGTTAATGGAAATTCAGAATTTATGATGGCCTCTAAAATGACATGTGTCTTTTGATGGAAATAAGTAACAGTAAAACCTGACTGCACCAATGAATTACAAACGTTAGCAAATTCATGTAGGATAAAAGCTGAGAGGTGTGGTTGGGAGGGAGAACCCCATGATGAAATAGCAAGTGAATGAAAAAAACAAAAACAGTTCAACACATCTTTACATAAACTAGGAAGCTGCAGTGCAGCAAATGCAAGTGGCCAGTTCCCTTCTCTGCTTTAACTGAACAGTTCAGTTAACGTGTTTTTTCATGGTATCAACACATTTTGGAACAGAGCCTTCATGAGTGGGATCTGACCTGTCAACATGAGAGTACAGTAAAGAGGGACATTATTTATTTTTTACTGTTAGAATTTAATTGCATGTGCATGTTGTTTTAGAGATGTATTCAGCCTTAAACTGATTTTAAAAAAATTAATTACTAATTTGGCAAGATTCCTAAATCTTAGGAAGATGGATGCAGGAATGTGAACGTTCCAGATTACACCAACATAAATGACTTACCCTATGTCAATGAGCGGCGGCTTCCCCCGGCCCCTCTTATAGCACAAAAAGAGCTCGGGACTCTTGAGACTGCCGTGGTTAAGATTGGCCGGCTGGCCGCTGTAGGTGCTGTCGATACAAGTAAAGCCCTCAGGCACAGTTTCTCCTGCTGATCTGTTAATGACAGCCAGGTCAGTGATGGGCGCTTTGGGCCCACTGGACTTGGTCTCTGACAAGTCCTGCTCCAGAGGTGTGGACTTGTCTGTGAGGCCGGCCACCACAAAGTAGTCGGTCACGCGGTGACCCTTGTCCTCAATCATGGCTGGATGCACCTGATGGGTCAAAAAACAAACAAAAAATAGAGACTTTTGTTTCCAACACTCACATCAAACTGACATAAGAAAATACAAACAAAACTCCGTTCTCACACATTTGTAAGGTGTTATTCTCGGCAGTAGGAGGACAAAATCTACACAACTTACTAAAGACTGTCCGTCTTAAAACTCAAGCTGAGAAGCACACTAAACAATAAAAAGGAAAGCTGGGATGGACCTCACATCCAAACATTCCCTGAATGCTAAATAATACTGTGGCCAAGGCAATAAAAGGAGCCTTAAAGACTCTTGCATCACAGCGAAGCAAACAAACGATGCAGAGATTGGATCTCCCGACTCTCACAAACATCCTTGTCATTGTATATAACAGCGTTGCTGCTAATACGAGGAGAGTTAAAGCTCTTGTGGATTCAGAAAGCCAAGGAAAAGCTGGTGAGCCCAGAGGAATGCTCAGAAATGTCACTTAGAGCGTAAATCAAACGGACAACCAAGTCTCTGTTGCACTTCAATAAAACCAAAAGAAAAGTCCTACATGTGGCTTGAATAGCTGAAAAATGAAAGACTAAACTTGTTTTCATAGTTAGGGCAGCTGTAATTCGCCCACAGCTTTTTTGCACAGAACATTTTAATTAACTTTTTATAAATGCTCCGTCTTCTTTTCAACCCTTGGGTCACGACACTGAGTTTCACCAGCTGTCAGTGCCTCAGCTGGAGCATTTCCACGTTCTAACAGTTTCTGTAAAATGTGAATCTAATTGCAGAAACAAGACTATTAGAACCTTTCCCTGCACCACTAGTAGAACGCTAACCCCTAGAGTAGTACAATGTACATGGAGCTGGAGTTTGGTCCCATCACCTCTACAGAGTGTGACCGAAGACATGAGAGGGGGGGATTACACCCTATCCTGTGGGCTTTGCACAGTCATCATACAATGATTAGGCTAGTTTTTTCTTTTTTTAAACTAAACATGACACTTCACATGGGGGAGACGAGGGTGTACTACCAGCTCC